CCTGTAGTCCCAGCTACTTGGGAGGCTGAGGCAAGAGAATCTCTTAAGCCCAAGAGTTTGAGGTTGCTGTGAGCTGTGATGCCATAGCACTCTACTGGGGGTGACAGAGTGAGACTCTGTCTCAAAAAAAGAAATTTTTAGCCAAACACTGATTGCTCTTTAAAGGCCTGAGGAAGGTGTTAAAGACCTATTCGCACCAAACTAAGACCTCCTTTTTTAATCAGAAGGATCAAAAGACTTGCAGAGAGAACTTTCTCCTTCTGGCTTCCATGTTAACACTCACTGAAGACCAGAAATACCCTTCAGACGGGTAGGCAGACAGCCATGGATGTGTTAATTGTTGAGAAAAGCTTGTGGCAGAAAAATTATTGCAATATTAATTTATGTTTTGTTCTAGAAGTAATATTTCTTCCATCAATACCAATCAGATAGCTGGTCTTTCTTGCTTTCTTATCTTTAGGGATCTATTTTGAGAGAACAAGGTCTTTTGAAGGCAGTTCTCTTGCATCTTTCAGGAAAGCTAAATTCATGAGTGGAGAAGAAGCCTGGGAAATGAACATGGGATCATGGTGGGAGAGAAGGCAGGTTGCCCCAGAGAGAAAGATAGAGGCTCAGGATCTAGAAAGCAGTGAAGACACCCATGTCCTTCACTGGGGACAGGGTCTAAAGTGCAGGGGGCAGAAGGTGGCCAAGTCAGATCAAAGAAAATACAATCTTGTGACATTATCCATACGCAGGAGTTTGTGGATCTGGATTCTCACACACCTATAAGCATCTGAAATAATTATTAAGATGATAATCAAGTCATTCCCAAGCTGTATGTTTTCATGTATATTTTCGTCATATCCCAAATGGTGGAGATTCGTTGTTTCATATGTATATACTTAATTTACAGAACTGTACCTTCTGCCTCATGGAGTAAACTAAAAAAAGTTATTGTGGCATTGTGGCCTCTGGAGAACCAGTGTGTAGCTCATTGGAAAAGGTCACACTGTCTTTTCCATGAGTCACTGGGACAGCAGACAAATAAGCAAGTATCATTTTAATAGGTATTTAGTTTACTTACCTGGTAGGGGAGATACCGTGATCACAAAGGTAGTTTTCCCAGGGTGAGGGTTACTCATTGCACTCTGGACACGCTGACCCCTGCGATTTCCCCAAATGTGGGAAACTCAACTACATAATTTGTGGTGGGGGACTGTGTTCATGCTCTCCTCTCAGAAAATTCAAAAAAGGAGGCTGGGCACAGTGGCTCATGCCTGTAATCCTAGCACTTGGGAGGCCAAGGTGGGTGGATTGCCTGAGCTCACAGGTTAAAGACCAGCCTGAGCGAGAGCAAGACCTTGTGTCTAAAAAATAGCCAGGCATTGTGACGGGCACCTGTAGTCCCAGCTACTTGGGAGGCTGAGGCAAGAGAATTGCTTAAGCCCAAGAGTTTGAGGTTGCTTTGAGCTATGATGCCAAGGCACTGTACAGAGGGCAACAAAGTGAAACTCTGACTCAAAAAAAGGAAGAAAGAAAGAATGAAGGAAGGAAGGAGAGAGAGAGAGAGAAAGAAAAAATTAAAAAACAATAATAGGTATTTGGTTCAGACCAAGTAAGAAAGCACAATTCCAACTGGATAAAGAGAGAGAGATAGAAGAGAGAGTGAAGAGGTTTTCCAACCACTCCAGAGGTAAAGTTTGTTTCAGGTGGAGCTGGGTCCAGCACTGACTTGAGGACCCAGTTCTGCATTCTCCATCTCTTGGCTTTGCTTTCGTCTGTGGACGTCATCTGCAGGTAGCTGCCTGTGGCAAAGGTGGTGGCTCCCTGCCCCAGGTTTGAATCACATCCTCTCCACAGAGCAAAGGGAATCTTCACAACAGCTAATCTGTGGAGCGGGTCCTGCTTGGGTCTCATGTCTGCCCTCAAACAGTTAGCATGGCCAAGTTGGCAGAAGGCTGTAATTAGCAGAGTTGAATGCCCAGATCCTACAGGAGGGTGGGTTTGGCCTGTCTAGAACTGCATGGGCTGAGAGTGGGGAAGGAGCACTTTCTGAGAAAATAAGAGTTCAGCTACTGCAAGATGAGGAAAGAAATGCCAGAGGGCATGTGGAAACCCCCATGTCCTGGTAGACTCGTCCTCTCCCATCCTTCCTGGGAGGGGCGGGGGTAGAGTGGTGCTTGTCAGCCTGGAGGAGACACTGAGCTCTTATTCTTGGAAAATTCCAAGTGTGTTTACAGAATAGGTAACCTCAGGCGACGGGGTCCCCCACCTGGCACATCCCAGGCTGTTTGGGGCCCCTGAGAGACACTTTGCCAGTTCTTAGCAGGCTGGGGCAGCCCGAAGGAGGGGCTCAGAGCAGAGGCTCTGGACCTTTCTAAGCTTTTGTTTTCTCACTTGTGAAATGAGAATAAAAAGGTATTTCTCTCCCACAGAGGTTTGCTCAGTGAACAATGCGTCCAGAGCACATGACCCGTGGCTAGGTCACCGAAAGCCCTCAATTAATGTTGGACATTGTTATTTGAAAGGCAGGATAATGCTTCCTACGAAACAGTTAGAATTACGATCCCAGTCCATTCTCCCAGGAAGCCTGTGAGATACGTAGAGAACTCATTATTGTTCCATTGGAGGGATGAAGACACCGCACCTCAGACCGTTTAAATGGTATTTCCACATCCCCTGGCAGAACCACTTGTCAGTGACAGAGGCAGGTTTCAAAGCCAAAGCACTGGCCTCTCAATGCCACCTCCCTGCCCCCATCACATGCTGATCAGGACTATCTGGGGGTGCCCAAGGGTAGCCTTCTGGAACAGTATAGCTTTTTCATGCCAATCACTTCTAGTCTAGACTACACTGTACAATAGAAACAGTGTGAACCACAGATGTATATGAAATGTCCTAGTAGCCACACACTTACACAAAAATCCAGGGACAGTGGTGCACATGGGTAGTCCCCGCTAGATACCCAGGAGACTGAGGATTCCTTGAGCCTAGGAGACCGAGGCTACCGTGTGCCCCACCACACCTGTCACTATCCATTGCACTCCAGCCCAGACAACATAAAGAGAGCCTATCTTCAAAAATTTTTTTCTTAAGTAAAAAATAAATACATTTTAATAGTAATAATATATTTTATTTAACCTGATATATTCAAGATACTATTACTTCAACATGTAAGTCAATATACAAAACTATTAAGATATTTTATGTTCTTTTTAATATTAAATCTGGTATGTACTGTACATTTACAGCACTTCTCAATTCAGACTGCCCACCTGTCAAGTGCTCGTAGCCCATAGCCACATGTGACCACCCAGGTCACCATCTGGGACAGTGCAGGACTTGAGGCAGATTATTTAAGACACCAGAAAAGCAGGAGCACAAAAGAGAGGGGGAGGAAGAGAGAAAGAGAGAGATTCTGTTGCAGTGAGTTTATCCAGAACCTTGCAAATTAGTACAGAAAAAAAGAGATTTAAGATCATATTTTGTGGTTTAGTATTATTCTTATTTTGAATTACAGTGTGGTAGGGATAATAAGAATTTGTCCTTGATCCAGAAACAGTTGATGGTCTTAATACTGTCCTGGGACAATGACAATTGCAGAACTGATGACCCAAGATGTGGCAGCAGAACCTAGCTAGCTGAATCAGAAAAGGAATTTATTGAAGGATGCTAGGTAGCACATGGAATCTCAGGAGACCAGGGACTTGGTCTTCAGAGGGAGCAGCCTGAATTGACACTTAAAGTACAGGGCTGCTCCCATGGAGGCTCTGTCACCGCTGTCCCTGGCCAGCGTGCCTCAGTAACTATCACCGTTGCTGAGCTCAGAGCTACTTTGGGCATCTCTCCACCACCCTGTCCCAGCGGATGCTGAGGGCCCCTCCTGGTTCATATCATATATCTCTAAATGAACTCTATACTTATATCCCAGTCATAAAACCTGAGTTACATACTTGCACCTTAAAGCATGGAGTCTGGGAAAGCAATTTTCAGTTGCCTAAGCAAAGGCGTGCAAAAGGTTTCTATAAGTATGACGCATGCTCACTATACAAGCCAGCTTGGGTTTCTCTTTTAAAAGTTATTGTGACAATCAACAAAATGAGAAAGCAACATATGGAATGGGGGAAAATGTTTGCAAATCATATATCCAGTAAGGGTATATTCAAAATATATGTAGAAGGAATTCATATAACTCAGTAGGAAAAAAACCAAATAACCTGATTAAAAAATGGGCAAAGAACATGAATAAACACCTTTTCAAAGAAGATACACAAATTGACACAACTACAAGAGGGACTCTACCTAAAAACTCAAATATTGTGACTTGGTTGTTTGCACCCTCAATTTAATCTGAAATAAAAAAAAAAAAAAGAAGATATACAAATTGGCTGGTCGGTGCATGAAAGGTGAAATGCAAATTAAAATCATAATGAGACATCACCTCATAAATGTTAGGATGGCTATTATCAAAAATGCAAAAGATAATAAGTATTGGCAAGGATGTGGAGAAAAGTCAGCCCTAGATATTGTTTGTGAGAATGTAAATCAGTACAGCCATTATGGAAAATAGTACAGAAATTTCTCAAAAAAAAATAAAAATAGAACTACCATATGATCCAGCAATCCTACTTCTGGGTGTAAATCCAAAGGAAATAAAATCACTATCTTGACAATCACACTCCATGTTCATTGCAGCATTATTCACAATAGCCAAGTATGGGAAACAACCTAAGTGTCCATCTACAGAGGAATGGATAAAGAAAATGTAATGGCTCGGCACCTGTGGCTCAAGTGGCTAAGGCGCCAGCCAC